GTTACCCATTCCTGGTTTGGCCATTATGTTTGGAGTAAATCCTTCCCTGAAACATTGCAGCAAAATAACACCTCTCTAGTTTTTGGAGAAAATAACAGGAAAAACCCCTCTCAAAAACTTTTCATTGGAGTTACGTGGGTTCTCAGGACATTTGCTTAAAATGAGAGGCAAAATCTGTCGTCAAACATACTGCCGTCACTACTAACCTCCATACAGCCAGTGATTTCAAAGATATCATTCTAAACAGTGGCTGCGCAAAAGAAATGGAAGAATAGTGCTCTTATACTATTAAAGGTGTATTTCAACTAAAAACCGGAATTTTATCTAGTACATTCGCTTTTGCCTTCTAGGCGCTGACATAGTGACGTGACAAAGCAACAGCAGCATTCACCCCACCTCCAGACTCAGCCATAAAAAGTAAATAAGCAAACCGAAAGGTTTCCTACACAGATTTTGTCTCGATAGATGCACGTAGAGCTGAGCACGCCAATTTTCCCAGGGATGAGGTAATCCCATTGATATTCTCTCCAAATCAGCTCACCAGTGAATCGTGAATAAATGGACATTTGATTAGGAGATGGGCTGCAAATATCCATCAATGAATCAATCAAGTGAGATGGTTACCCAAAAAGCGTCTGGAGTCAGCAAGTGGCATCGTAAAACATATAAGAATTTTACTTCCCAAAGTAATTTATGCACGTGCGCATAGCCATGACGTACAATTATGAATTGAAAAACGGTACCTCAGACTGTTGTCGCTAGTGGCACAAACAAGTTAATGCTGCATCCAAAATCAATCATAGAGAAGTCCTGCTACCCAATATCATCATTTTAATGGTGTTAGAAGTAAATGTCTCACACCTTTGTGATTAAGTAAAACAGAATGTTTAAGCATATTTGCTAAATAACAGCTCTTTTGTTTTTTAAAGGGTCACTAACAGAAGCGCCTGGGCCATTAAGGACCTCGCTCCCACAACACTTCAGGTGGAGCCACGTGGGTACTCAAAACATTACGTTAAGTTGGGACGTTGGAAGCTTGGGTGAAGACTACGCAGAGGTCATTGTATTGACTGTGGTGTCAGCCTCCTACTTTAGATTCTTTACATTTAGAGATGCAAATTTCTTACTTGGAAACGTTACTGTTAATGGACTGAAGCCTAATACAACCTACGAAGTAACTGTGCAAGCAGTGGGCAAAGTCGGCACCATTTTCATTTACGAAGAATTAATTACAACCCTCTCCCATGGTAAATATTCGCAAATCCGCACTCTTTCCATGCTAACATCTTCTACATCAAAAACAAAGAGCATATGTTACTTTCATTAGTATAAGGCAGTAGCAAAGCTTCATTACAACACAGTTCACCGTTGAGTTGTGAATAAGCATCGCGTGATGTCCTTAATAGCATTTTTACTTTGCTTATTATTAGAAGGCGTTGTCACAAGTAGTGCATCCGCACTAACTCCCTCAATCTTCGGGGCTGTCTTCTCTTTCACGGCCATGGTTCTTGCTTTAAATTCAGTGTAAGTCAACGCAAATGCCCAACTGTTTCATCTACACAGAATATCATGGTCGATGACTTGAAGTT